AGCGGGCAGTGGCGGTTACTTGCTGGATTCACTTGCAGCGCATTTGCGGTGGGGTCACGAGCGGTCACTTGCTCCAGCGTGCAAAGGCGGTCGCTTGCGGCAGGTTGCAGCACTGATGTTGGAGAGCAAGCCGTTGCAACCTTCTTGTTTTTTAGCCTCTTCTATCTGCACATTACTTGTGAGAGCTGTCTGCAATTCTGCAATTTGGCGAGCTCGGCACATTAAGCAAAATGAAATTCATGGGAATTCTGGCGCAGTAACCAAACTTTCAAGTGCTCAACGAGACTTGCAAGGCCAACCTTCACGTACTTTGACTGACAAGCTTTTGCGTCGCTGCATTTTCCGCAATACATCGTTCAGCCGGCGTGCCTATCACGTCCAACGCAATGATCGTGTCTACACGCACCCACTCCGAACATAAAACACAGGCTGCGACAAGGAATAACATTTGCAAATCAAAACGCAAAATCAATTCGCGGCACAGCATAGCCATACTTGAAGCCGCACTTCTACGGATTTTTTACTCGTCACAACGCCCGTTTCCTGTGGAATCGTGTTGCGACGCAAGAACATTACGGTGAACCCTTGTGATCATTCCCCTGGTATGTTGTTTGAATGTTGTCAGTGCAGTTGAAAATGTTTTTTTGCGCTGCCCTGCCCCCCCCTTAAAAAATCGAAAGCGTTGTTTACACCCAATCTGGCAAAAGAAATTCTTGATCAACAAATCGAATTCTTGAAGCAAACACAAAAACCGCACGACTCTTGCAAACAATGCTAATGTCTGCTCACTTCAGCATCCCGAAAAGATATGTAAAATATTAAGAAAGATATTTTAAAAAAACAAACAAACTTCCTCGATCCTGAACACATGGTTGCGCAATGGCATTGCTCTGCTGCGAACAGTGTTTGACAAGCACCGCAACGGCAAAAAAGCATTCAAACATGCTGGCTTTCGCAAGTCAGTAAAAACATCTTCTTTTTGGCTACCATCACGCAACCCTCATGAACCCACAGCAGGCCATCTGCCACAACGACTCTTCAGAGTCAGGGCAGCCAGGCGCCAAAAAGGGTCACACAGTATGGATTCCGCTTTTCATCATGTCACATGCCGCGTGACTGCAACCAAAATGTTGACATCGATACAATCAACCATCCATCACGAAGAGTGACCCCCAGCGCAAGCAGAAGTGCAGGACAAAGCCCCAAGCTCTGTTATATCGGTCTGAACGCCCTTGCTAACAACAAAGATGATATCGTTATCCGGCAAACTTTTCTCAACTGCATCTGTCTTTCCATTGACCATAGTCTCCAACAAGAATCGATCACAAACTGCCACAGCCGGCAAATCATCCTCATTCACATGAATTGCCACCAAATCCTGGCAAAAGAACACGCTTGCTTACATGTTCATTCATATCTCAAAGCAAAGCAAAGCTTTAATTGAATGGCACACCACTAAAGCAACAATGCCTTCTCTGCCGGTTTTTCGTCGTGATCTGGAGCTTCAGGCACGTGAGCTTCAACAAGACTTTCCTCCAATGCGCTCACTGAATAGCGCCACTTGCAAAGCTCAAAAGTACAAAAACATAGCAGCCATAACAAAAATCAATCCATAGATCAAAGCCTCCCTCCCAGCAACCCCAACATGCTCCTCCAAATCAGCTTTAATCTGCTCATCTGCTTCAGGACACGTCATATAGCCTCGTTGATAATCAAAAAAATCCAAGTCCCTGTGATTGGCTCCGCCACAAAAAGCTTCTCCAATAGTCACAGCCGCAGCATAACTTGTAAAGCGGTGCCAAGCAAGAGAATGTGCCTGCCGCTTGTCATGACACAGAACATATTTGCATACTCAAAGACCTAAAAACATACATATGTATATATAGACCGCATTTTACATACCATTTATATATATGAACATACATCTGCATATGCTACAAATATATATATATAATACATACATACATACATACATACATACATACATACATACATACATA